CTGTATCGGTAGTGTCAATAAGAACTCTTCTAGATAATAAGGTGGAAATGTAGATTTCACGTGCAAGACACACATCATGCTGTCGGCCATTATACGAGCTTTTCTTCTTTTCTGGAAGTTTGTGATACCATAATGATAGTTTTGTACCTTTGTAATGATTAACATGTTATTTTACTGTGTAATTGAGACTGTTATGCTATTGTCATAGATATGATGTTAACCCTGGCATTGTCGCGATAAACATTGCCATGTGGTTAATTCCGTCAGTTTAGTCAGTCATGTCGACCAATTACATTGTCGATGATAATTCATACAAATTGTTGGGTCGAGTTGACCTTTGGTGAATTATTATCATTTTTTTTCTTTCTTTACACTTCCAATATCATAATAAACATCATCTTCATCTATTCTTCGATCTTCATCATTAGCATCTATATATATATTCATATATGTTCATATTCCTCATCATCAAACCATCGCCAGCATTCCTAATCATTAAACTATCATCATCATCATGATAAATATAATTCATTCATCTACAACATTATCATTATAATCAATCCTTGTCAACAATAATACATAATCATCCTCATCAATTATAAAAATCATCATCAATATTATCATTGCTGACCTAACTTTCATGATCACCAACAACATCCTCAGTTTTTATCAATTATATCCTCATTTCTGTGCCGTTTTATGTTTTATATTACTTGTATAACTTGAGATTACAGTGAAATTACATAAACAACAAATCGATTAACATTCATGAAAATATCAATTAGAATTAAAGTAGCTGAGAAGTGATGTGTATTTTTCATTCTCCATGGCAGACACTATCTCCATTAAAGTGTCCCTGAGCTCATAAAGTTTTTTGTAGTCTTTATTTTCAAGATTTGGGAAGACAATCAGTTTCTTTTTCAGTGTTGCTTCAATCATAGAATACAGAATGTGCGTCCATGTTTTTGGGAATAGTCCCTCTCCAGTGATTGCCACATACGGTCTTCGTAAAAGCGCAGAAGTGCCATAGATTTGATGCAACGAGCACAAAAAGCATTAGCTGCTGGAGGATATTTGCGTCTTCACAAGATTGCCTCTAATTGCAGAGAAGTCATGAACGCCTTTCCAAAAGAGGATAAAGCAAAGGACCTCAAATATGTGGACATAAGTCAAGAGGGTCTACCTCTACAACGGGGCTTAGGCTTGAACTGGAATTTGGACTATGACATTTTCACGTTCATTATTCCTGATCAAGTAAAGACATACTCTAGGAGAGGAGTATTATCAACAATTAACAGTTTGTTTGACCCTCTAGGGTTTATCTCACCGGTTGATGTACATGGAAGGATATTGATGAGATATATGATGTCAGAGACTACTGATTGGGACGAGCCATTGCCAGTCAAGTACAAGGAAGGGTGGATAAAGTGGTGTCAATCGCTTAAGCATTTGGAGGACTTATTTATCCCTCGTACATACGTACCAACTTCACTTTTGAATACCCTGAGACAGGAAGTAAACATTTTCTGTGACGCGTCAGAAAAGGCCATTTGTGCCGTGGCATACCTGGAAACAGTGGATGTTAATGGGGACATTCATGTGATATTCATCATTGGAAAGTCCAAAGTGTCACCTAAACATGTTCATACAATACCACGATTGGAATTGTATGCAGCAGTCATCACTGTAGAGCTAGCAGAGACTGTATCGGAACATCTATACTTACCTGTAGAGCAGATGAAGTTTCACTTTGACAGTAAGGTTGTGTTAGGCTACATGAACAATCGTGTTAGAAGATTTTTCGTGTATGTGGAAAATCGTGCCAACAGAATTCTGTGGTTAACTAAGCCTAGTCAATGGAACTACGTGTCGACTAATCACAATCCAGCAGATTTGGGCCCCAGGTCTGTCCCATCTCATTTGTTACAAAACAGCATATGGATTCAAGGCCAAGAATCACTTCACATCAACACATTAGTTACAGACCAGATATTTGGGCTACAGTCACCTGATGATGATTCAGAAATTTGCCCAGATGTGAGTAGTTTAAAACTTTCAATTCAGCTCAATCAAAGACTTGGAACGGTTCTGTTCGAGAGGTTTTCGCGATTGGAAGACTTGGTGCGGGCTATTATGTTTTTGTTGCACGGCGACTTGCTGGCTCGAACAATGGTTCAATTTCTCACCATATCAAGGAAACAATTACAGAGTTGCGAGCTTCTACTGAAAAATGTATTATCATGCAAGTATAACGAGAAGTATTCAGCAAGGAAATTGAATGTATACTCCATGGTAAAGCTCTTTATAAGGACAGTCCCATATTGAGTCTGAGCCCCAACATCGACAACGAGGGTGTTCTACGGATTGGAGGACGCTTGAACAAAGCTGACCTCAATATACTGGAGAAGAATCCTATTTTGATCCCCAGACAACATCATGTAGCCATGCTGTTAATACGTCATTTCCACGACAAAGTGCAACATCAGGGGCGTCATCTCACTGAAGGTTCTGTGCATAGTGCAGGATTCTGGATCATTGGCATGAAACGCTTGGTATCATCAGTCATTCAAAAGTGTATTAAATGCCAAAGACTTAGAAGAAGCCTGAGCTATCAGCAGATGTCCGAGTTACCACGTGATCGTTTGGTTCCAGGGTCACCATTTACGTCCGTTGGTGATGATTGTTTAGGACCCTGGCAAGTATCATCACGTCGAACAAGGGGCGGACAGGCCAATTCCAAGCGCTGGGCCGTACTGTTTACATGTCTGAGGACAAGAGCCGTCCACATTGAAGTTATTGAGGAAATGAGTTTCTCTTTCTTTATTAATGCCGTGAGACGCTTTACTGCCATACGAGGGAAAGTAAAAGTGTACAGATCGGACAGAGGATCCAATTTCATCGGGTCAGCAGGAGATCTTGGGATTAATGTTGAAAGTGATGGGATGATGAACTTTCTTTCCTCTGATGTTTCTACATGGAAATTCAACGCTCCGCATTCCTCGCATATGGGAGGGGTGTGGGAGGTGTGACGTGAAGAATCTTAAATTCATTATTGATGGACGTGCCAGGGTGTGGTCTCACACATAAATTGTTGTCTACTTTTTTAGCCGAAGTATCAGCAATAATAAATTCGCGACCACTTGTACCAGTTTCGTCAGACACAGAGAATCCATATCCATTGAGCCCATCTGTTCTACTGGCGCAGACAAGTGACTCAATTGTTAAATTGCAATTCCAACGGATGTTACGAACCTGTATCGAGCACAGTGGAAAAGGGTTAAAATATTGGCTGAAATGTTTTGGAGACATTGGAAGGCGGAGTTTCTTCAGACTTTGCAAAGTCGCCGCAAGTGGACAGCTGAACAAAGGAGTCATCGTTCTGATGATGTGGTTCTTCTGCGGGACAAAAGTGTAGCAAGTAACTAATGGCCTTTGGGTGTGGTAACACAGGTTATTCCCAGTGAAGATGGGAAAGTACGTAAAGCAGAAGTGCATGTTGTAACCCAGAACGGCAAATCCACTAGCTACATGCGTCCAGTTAATGAGATGGTGGTGCTGATTCCTTACGAGGATTCTAAATAGACAGTTCGGACCTAATGATATTTTTTAGTTAGTGAACTAGCTTAGTTTGTGTACTTTTTATGAACTGTGTATTCTTTACGAACTCTAAATTTCATGTACAAGTAAGGTCATATGTTAACATTGCTTCTGGTTGTATGAGTGTGGTATAGTCATACCAGACGGGGAGTGTGCCGTTACAGGCAGTACCGTCATTGTTCTGTGAATGAAAAAGTCTAAAGTGTGGCAGATTTATTTAACTTTGTCCATGTAATCAGCATCTGTATCGGTAGTGTCAATAAGAACTCTTCTAGATAATAAGGTGGAAATGTAGATTTCACATGCAAGACACACACCATGTCGTCGGCCATTATACGAGCTTTTCTTCTTTTCTGGAAGTTTGTGATACCATAATGTCAGTTTTGTACCTTTGTAAGGATTAACATGTTATTTTACTGTGTAATTGAGACTGTTATGCTATTGTCATAGATATGTAAAGATGTTAACCCTGGCATTGTCGCGATAAACATTGCTATGTGGTTAATTCCGTCAGTTTAGTTCAGTCATGTCGAACAATTACATTGTCCATGATCATTTATACAAATTATTGGGTCGAGTTGACCTTTGACGAATTATTAGTGACATCATTACTGTTAAACTTAGTAATCGAGGTTCTGTTAGAGCTATATATTGTTCGTACATGAATATATAGTAGAAATAATTCACAATATTGTAAAGCATTTGTCAAGTATGTTCAGGTCAGTATAGACATACCTCATCTTTATTTGTAAATCAACAAAATATAATAATAGAAGCGTATTCCTATTTGTTACAGTCTTTTACTTAAATAGAACAATAAATTACAACGCTCTAAAATGCGGCAGTCTTCGGATTTTTCTGTGTATCGCCCAAGGCTGAAACGTGCAGGCATATTGCATACCTATTCTGTGATTTGAAAAATTCCTCAGTTATCAAAAATGCGAATACAAATTAATACAGGTCTGTTAAAAATAACGGGATCACTGTAAGGCTCATAGCTCACGACCAAAGATGAAGGTTACAGAGGTCAATTTTGATGAAGCAGAGTTGGTTGGAATCCATCAAGGAATCACATGGCCACAGTTAAATGTCACCAGGTAAAATTTCAAAGACACATTTATAATCAAACTTGCTGTATACATGTATTTGTATACTTTCATCTTTTATCATTATATAGTTACCAATAAAAGTTGCAATATAATAACTTGCATATTGGGCCTTCCAAGGCCTCTCGTCTTAAATGACCTCACACCACGAGGATTTTAGGCAAACAACAAGTTACTAGTATCTCTGTATACAAGTCTCAATTTTAGACAACTATTGTCAGTTACGGTTTCTTTGTTGTGAAAGGAGCCGAAAATTCAAAATGCTTTCATTTTTTTTTCAAATTTTTATTGTTCCAGATTTAAACTTGCAATTTAAAGCTGCCAGGGTTTTGGTCCTGGTATTAGCTTCGTTACAATAAATGTCCTCTCGCAGGAGGGCTCTCGTACACCACACTCCGAGTCTCAGACAATCATTAGTTCATTCATTCATTCATATTTTGTTTTTTACATGGTATATTCATCGATCTCATCCTGAAGTTTAATCACACATTCATTATTTCATTCAAACAACCATTTGTTCATGTGTTATAATTATAAATGAGTAGCGAGGGAAGTGTTATTCAATATTGTCTGTCATCTCTCCTCATTGTAAAGTTGTCCCTCTTGCAAGCTTCATGTATGGTATTTTGGTGTAAAATGCAGTCCTGTACATCAATATTTTTAGTATAGATTTGCTTTAATAGCTACTCAATTGAATATTACCATTATAAACTTCCTAGTCTGAGTGCATTTTCCCCACACCAGATATATCAGATGAGTGAGATGTCTGAGCTCTGCAATATGAAAATAAAAGAAGAATTATTATTTACCAGAATCTATGGCTATGCATGTAAGTTTCAGAGAATTAATTGCATCAATATGTTTCCGGCAATCTAGTGAATCTCCTATAGTACATATGTAATAATCATTCCTAAATATAAAATCTGTTTATCACCCTATCCTACCCTGTGTCTGGGCCCTCTGGGGTCAAATGTTAAATCTGCATGCGAGTCAGAAAAGTTTGTTCGGAACCATAACATTTATGGTAATGTTGAAATACTGTAACATGGTGGCCCCGTTAGTGTTACAAAATCTGGAAATGATACACACAAAATAAATGTAGAATTATCACTGGACAAATAGAATGTTTGAAAAAAAAAAATATGTGTTTTTTACCCCAAAAATGTCAGAAAATTAAAGCTTCACACAACCTGATGTCATATTTGTGTTGCATTATCCAGTATAATACATCATTTTAAGTTTCTTTTGCCTACCACTTGTACTTTTCTAGATTAACCCAAAATTACAGAAAATCTTTTACCAGTAGACCGACACACGGATGGAATTGGGGTAAAACAGTACGCCCAGACAAAGTTGTAAGGGGGCATAAAATTAAAACTGGTCTAATGCAAAATAGAATTATAATTTTTGACCTAAGATCTCATGGTAACTTTTCCATTTTATTATAATTTACCATCTGTATACATACATACAGTACACATTTCATAAGTGTTACTAGCTATCATACATGTGATGTATACATAATTTATATTACGACAATTTATATGTCACATTGTGGGTGATATGTACATGTACTTACTCTATATCTGAGACGTTGGGCATTAGTGTATCTACAGATAGGCTAGGTTCTTTATGGGTAGGTGTGGATGTTATCAGTACCGATGCCCCTGTATATGTGCGTGATGCCTTCCTAGACCGAGAAGTGCTACGTATAGGTGTCTCCATTGAAGTGCCATGTACCCCCATTAAAGTGCCAGGTGTGTCAGTGGCTACACCATGTATTTCTTGTGTCACTGAAACACACCTAAAACATGGAAAAAAATATAGATTATTTGAAATATAAAATATTCTCCCAATATCTTTTTTATCACAATTTAAGTAATATCATTGAAAATTTACTGAATTTCACGATATCGCCACCAGTGATGGATGATATATCAGCTATAGGAGTCACATCTACACCCTTCTTGACCCTGAACCAATAATGGGTGGAGGGTGGATGGCTAAAACAGTTCACCATGAATCGTCGTTATCAATGAGAAATATTTAAATACATGGAGAAGGGAGTTATAATATTTGTTTTTTATTTACTGTAAACAGAATGCAGGTACTGTCTATTACTATAACATCATAGAATTTTTCAAAGCAAATGGAAATAGATGTTTTTGCAGGAGTATATAACAAAACTTCTTCATCTTCATCTTTAGACCTTCCTTCGTCAATATCGTCAAAAGAAACAAAGTTCTATGAATTCAGGATCAATGAACATTATTGAATAATTCACATGTACAGTAAAATTGAGTATAATCTATATTTTCATTAAGTTAATTTTGTCCTTCATAATCATTACATATACATGTAGCTTTAACGTCTTAGATGTAAGAGATTTATAAATAAATTATACTCGTCTGACCGGCCTTACAATTTACTAATTGATGTTATTAAACACTTATTTTATATCATAACACTGAAAATAAAAATAAAGACACGTGTAAAATAATAAAAAATAAAATAAAAAAAGATCGAAAACCAACCCAAACAAAATTATGTTTTGTCTGTACACTAATTTATGTAAAAAAAAAATACCCCCAAGGATCCCCCCTGAAACGGACATAACAGACGTGAAAGAAAGGTGTCAGTTTCCCATAAATTTACATTTGTCCAGGACACTGATAACATGTGTGCCCTAATACCATCTTAAAGGTACCGTTTGTCAACAAAATCATTCACATTAAAGTAGATCTAAATATATATAACTTATTTATAATATTGCGAACAGTTGACAGCCTGCAATACTTACCACTTATCGAGAAGAATCTGCGCTGTGTGGTCGTATGTTGAGCAGCTGTCCACCTACAATGCTGCTTCTTAAGTCTTTTTAAAGGGTTGTCCAACGCCCATTGCTTTTTCCTGCGTTTTGTAGTAGATTCTGGAACCGTTCTTTGACGATAGCTTGCGCCTGTCATAGCTTTGGCACACATCTTTCTTTCGCCGCGATGTTTACAATGGGATTGTTGATGACACGCATGCGGTAAAATTACATCACTGATCTGGGTCAAGTGAGAGTTTTAGACTGTCAGATGACGATTTAGGATTTCGTTAAAATAATTATAATTTTTACTTCCAGGGAGTGAATTTCACCAAAATTTGAATCGTTATCTTTCATAAGGAAGTATTTTAAACATATGTATGCCATTATAGCAAATATAGATTTGTTTCCCCTGAACAGAGGCTTTAACATGTGTATTGCTAGCTGCGATAACGTAGCTTTCTGAAGGCCGGGTATTAATATTAGTACTAGTGTATTACATATAAAATATCACGTGCTTAAGGAAATTCTCGAAAAAAAAATACAATTACGGAAATACTTACCCCATCAAACCATCATAAATCACAAAACATCAACGACGAATGACCTGGTTAAATAGGATGGTGTATACAAACATAATCCGCTAGATATCGTTAAAAGCAATGTTTCCGGGTGTTACAATGAAAGTGAAACTCCATGTTGTTACTGCGAGTCTGATTAACTTCCGCTAACGTCATCGTTGGTTCAGCCATCAATGTAAAGTATAAGTAAAATGAAAGTATCTACAACTTTAGGATTTCCAATCGCATTGCGTATATCCTATGTTATGCATGATGCAATTTTTGAGTATAATCATAATTAAGGTAATAGGATTGTGTCACTATTTCTTAGTAGAATTTCTTCAAATTTTGTAGTTATATTGCTTTGAAGTAAAGAAAATTTTCTGCAACAAAACAAATGTAGGTTGTCAGAATTTTAAAGCGCCTGTTCGGGGATGTAGTTACACAATAAATGGGTCTAAATGCGTTCTCTGGTCTTCCAAAAGTTATACCACAACAATATGATGATCGAGTTCTGCTTGCATTGTCCAGTTTTGACCACTGAAATTTCGGGAAGCACCGCGTAAATTTAGCACAGATCTATTTATATATGTCACGTGGTTGTTTCGAAAGCGAGGCAGTGAAGATATCAACAATAGCACGCCGTCTCTACTCATCTAGAGGACAAGACAGCAATACTATACGTAAATAATTGTTTTAAGAAGTCATGTATGCTGCAAGTGTAGTATTCCTACCTATATGCCGTTGTTATATATAACTGTTTTGATGATAATGTCAATAAACTTGCAAATCACTGCAAATCGCCGTCCAATGCAGCGATGGGGCCCCATGAAGGGTAATCTAAATCCCGTCACCAATGTCATCGTTTCATTTGTAAAGTTGTATTTACTATTTTGAAGCAACCATAAGCATATCGTTAGTGAAACACAACAAGTTTTTGCCTGGGAATTTCGGGAATACTCATTAAATATTTTAAAACGGCCCAAAGACGTATCTAGACCAAATTTGAAGCAAAGAGAAACTTTCAACTTCAAGTAAACAGACAAATTAACATTGTGTCTTTGAAACTTTGATAAATAGGCCTATCAATTGATTATAGACCTGTTTATGACGCACATCACTTTTTAGATCCAGTTTTAATCTATTCTACATTTATTGTGACATAAAGAAAGCAGAATGTTTGAATGTTCACAAGTTACACATACTATAATTGCCCTACAATATTTCAATTATGCAATCATAAACCACATAATTATATATATAAAATGATTGCATACATATTCTGTGATTTGAAAAATCCCTTAGTTATCAAAAATGTGAATACAAGTAATACAGGTCTGTTAAAAATTAACAGGATCACTGTAAGACGCATGGCTCTAACCTGGATGTTATAGATGTAGATAGAACAAGGGGATTGCACGACCAAAGGTGAAGGTTACAGAGGTCGATTTTGTTGATCAGAGTATTGTTATGAATCCTAAAAGCAGAGCTGGTTGAAATCCATCAAGGAATTACATGGCGACCTTTAAATGTCACCAGGTCAAATTTCAAAGTCACGTTTATAATTAAACTTTCTGTATACATGTATTTGTATACTTTCATCTTTTATCATTATGTAGTTAGCAATAAAAGTTGCAATATAATAACTGGCATATTGGACCTTCCAGGACCTCTCGTAAATGACCTCACACCACGAGGATTATAGGCAAAGAACAAGTTACTACTCTTTCTATACAACTCTCTGTTTTAGACAAATATTGTCAGTTACAGTTTCTTTGTTGTGTCTACTGATCTTATGAAAGGAGCCGAGAAACTCAAAATGCTTTCGTTTTTTTCAATTTTTTGTTGTTCCAGATTAAATTTTACAATTGAAAGCTGCCAGGGTTTGGGTCTTGGTATCAGCTTCCTCACAATAAATGTCCTCTCGCAGGAGGGCTCTCATACACCATACTCCGAGTCTCAGACAATCAATAATTCATACATTCATTCATATATTGTTTTTTACATGAAATATTCATCCATCTCATCGCTGAAGTTCAATCACACATTCATCATTTCATTCAAACAACCATTTGTTCATGTGTTATAATTATAAATGAGTAGCGAGGGAAGTGTTATTCAATATTGTCGGTCATCTCTCTTCATTTTAAATTTGCCCCATTTACAAGCTTCATGTATGGTATTTTGGTGTAAAATGTAAACCTGTACATTAATATTTTTTGTATAGATTTGCTTTGATAGCTACTCAATTGAAAATTACCATTTTAAACTTCCGAGTCCGAGTACATTGCTTCTACACCAGATATATCAGATGAGTGAGATGACTGAGCTCTGCAATATGAAAATAAAAGAAGAATTATTATTTACCAGAATCTATGACTATGCATGTAAGATTCAGAGAATTAATTGCATCAATATATTTCAGGCAATCTAGGGAATCTACTGTAGTAAATATGTAATAATCATTACCAAATATAAAATCTGTTTATCACCCTTTCCTACCCTGTGTCTGGGCCCTCTGGGGACAAATTTTGTTGGGAACCATAACATTTCTGGAAATATTGAAATACTGTAACATGGTGGGACCCACAAGTCCCAAACTGGAAATGATACACACAAAATAAATGTAGATTCATCACTGGGCAAATGAATGTTTGAAAAAAACCTAGAATCATGAATCCGGCTTTTGCCCAAATTTATTTGCAGTAGACCTTTTCTCAAATCTTGCGAAGTACAAAGTATGTGTTTTCTACCCCAAAAATGTCAGAAAAGTAAAGCTTCACACAAGCTTATGTCATATTTGTTTTGCATTATCCATTATAAAACATCATTTCAAGTTTTATTTGTACCCAAAATTACAGAAAATCTTAAACCAGGGGACGGACACACAGACGGAATTGGGGTAAAACAGTATGCCCAGACAAAGTTGTACGGGGGCATAAAATTAAAACTGGTCTAATGCAAAATACAATATAATTCTTGACCTAAGATCTCATGGCAATGTTTCCATTTTATTATGATTTACCATCTGTATACATACATACAGGAGTAACAGTACACATTTCACAAGTGTTACTAGCTATCATACAGGTGAAGTATACATATAACTTATATTACGACAATTTATGTGCCACATTGTGGGTGTTATTTTCCATGAAAGTATATACATACATGTACATGTACTTACTCTGATATCTGAGACGTTCGACATTGGTGTATCTACAGATAGGCTAGGTTCTTTATGAGCAGGTGTGGATGTAATCAGTACTGGTGCCCCCGTAGATGTGAAATCTCGAGATTTGAAGCATTTTCTTACATTTTTCTCGACAAATGCATCTCCATGGACATCCAACCTTATGATATTTACAAGTTTAAATGGATTCTTTCCTGAATCGTCACTTTTATTCAACTTTGAAAATGAACATATAAAAAGGGATTTTTTTCGGCAGTTATTGAATATTTTTTCTGAAATTTAATGTGCATGTACCTCAATTATGTTTGAGAAATATTGGAGGAGGATTTTTTTTGTGACAGGAACAGTTTAATACTAACGGATTGCATTATTGAATTTGATATACAGTTTGGTGTGGCAGCCATATTGGAATGTCCTTAAAAGCTGAAATGGAATCGACAGAACTGCTTTTTAAGTTATGAATAAATATCTAAAACTATTCACCTCGCTAGTATCTTCGTCTGAGTTTGAACACAGATGAACTTATTTTGTTAAGTTAATGGGCATGTATCGAAGAGAGTTTAATTTGTGTTTCTATAGACTCTATACAGTAGTTTATGCGAAAGGAAGGGATAAGTGACTGGTTAGTTTGATTTTGCTATGAGGTCCTCCAAGGGATAACTGTTGTGATGGCCACGACGTATTCTGTTCTCTCCTCTATCGGTACTCGGGGTCAAATGTACATACTTTATAATATTCTCGGGTTCAGTAAAATGGTATGATTAAATGATGTCTCCAAAACCCCAAACATATTGTTTTTGCTCCGTTCCTTCTAAATATTATTATTCTTATTCTTATTTCTTCCACTTTCTTCCGCCGACGAGGTTTCCGACATGTTTCTCAAAAACCGTAGGGCGGAATTCAACGGAACTTAAATGAGTGTTTGTGTATTAAATGCGGTGCGCAAAATTATTTTCGTTTTTCGATCGGTCATCCGACTGGTCAGCCGGACGGCAGCCTCTGATTGGCGAAATTTAGACATCGTTCGATTTTGATGAAATTGGTATATAAGGATATTAGGGGACTGCGAACTCAACCGCATAGGTTTCGTTGCCATAGCAACCATAAAGCGCAACCACACGAAGGCTTCTGATTGGTGGAAATTAAGATATTGTTCGATTTTTATGAAAAATGGTATATAAGGGTATTAGGGGACTGCAAATAAAACCGCATAAGTTTCGTTACCATAGCAACCACACGGAGGCTTCTGATTGTTCGAAATTTAGATATTGTTCGATTTTGATGAAAATTGGTATATAGGGGTATTAGGGGACTGCAAATTCAATCACCTACATTTCGTTGCCATAGCAACCACACGGAGGCTTCCGATTGGTCACTATTTAGAAATTGTTCAATTCACTAAAATTTAGTACGTACTATGGCAATGCGACCCTTTTCTGATGCATATTTGCGACTATGAGGGCAGTTTATGAGGACATTTGTAATGGTCCCCCATTAAAATTTGTACTTGTTATATTGCTGAATTAAACGATTTGTTTTTGTATTAACATGCAAGATTTAAATTAGTACTAATATTACTACCTGGCCTCCTCTGCCGTGACGACGCAATATATATAAAAAAAAAAAACGTCTTCGGAAAGCTACGTTATCGCAGCTAGATTTAAATTTATCAAAATGACGGGCCAGGATGAATAACTGAGGGAGGAGAACCTACTTATAGCTAATAGGATAAAATTCTCTCGTCGTCAGAAAGCTACGTTATCGCAGCTAGATTTAACTATGTCAAAATGACGGGCCATGAAGAATAACTGAGGAAAGAGAACCTAATTATAGTAAATAGGATCGTATAACAAAAATGTTTTTGCGCATTTTTATTGGAGACGAAACTTCTATGGAGTTTCGTGTTTATGATGCACGTATGGTTGTTGCAGCGTGTAATTTTATTCCCATGTTGATATTGGGAT